CTCAAGGACATTCTGAAAAAGCAGTTTTTTGCCAGTTTCTAGAAGGCCATGAAAGTGGGGGCCATACTTAAAAACTATGTTTGAATTTTTCCCTTTGGTATCATGTATGAAATCTTATTTTGTTTCTCTACTGGGTCATAATAAAATATTATAGGGACAGTAAAATATTATATCATCTATAATAATTCAAATTTAAAGAGCCCAGGAAAATGAAGCAGTAGTCAGGCCTATTCTGATTAAATTCTTGAAATAGTTCTCAAATAGTAACATTCAGATTAGCAGTATTAGCTGTGGTAAGCCTCAGTCCTGATCCTCTATTACAGCTGTTAGGAAATAATTTTAGTGTTATCCAAACCCTGATCTGTGGCTAAACTTAATACGGTTAGTCAAAACAATAGTTTTATAAAGTGGAATTTATAAAGTTGACTGGCTTCCTAAAAAGCATAATTAACATTAAGCACAGCTTAGATGTAAAACAAAATAGAATTGCTTGGTGAGTGGGCAGCCATTGAAATTGAATAAATAAATAATACTGTTAACCTGGTTTAGAAATTATATAAATCAGAACCGAAAACCTGAATTACTTCTCATATTTGGATATTTGGGGTTGGGGGAATACATATTAGATTCACTGTGTCTCATGTTTAAAAGCTAAAGTGAACTGTTTCAAAACATTCATTGTTCAGGTTATATGGAAATAATAGACCATCATAATTTTGATACTTAGACTAAATAAATGTTTTTTGTGATAAGGATTAATGTTTTACCTTGTGTAAATGACATTTCAGACTGATATCACCCAACTCATGCATTTTATAATCATAAAGCTCACATGAATACTTACATGTAAAAGAGTACATATACACTTCCATTTCATCCTTATATAATGTAATTCCAAATTGTGGTGAAATCTGAAAAATTTGCATTATATATATATGTGCCATGATAATTAGATTTTGATTGTTTTCCATAGTTACAGCAAGTGGCAGCACTTGGTTGACCTTGTTTGGGCTAGGAATCTAAGCACAGTTTTACTTGGATATTATATGGATGGTAATCACACAAAGTTCCAGGATTGTAGGCTAGACCAGAAACTATAAATAAATAAATAAATAAATAAATAAATAAATAAAACAGAAGAAAGCAATGTGATTGTCTTGTATGTGCCTGTGTATTCACCAGAAGCCACGAATGATTTGAGGGAGCCTTTACCTTTATCATTCCTGTAATTATATCAGAATCTGACAAGTTTTTTGATGAAATTAAAAAAACTGACATGGTGCAAAATTGATACAGATAGTCCCCAGTTTAAGAATGAGTTCCGTTCCCAAGGTCTGTCCTTAAGACA